AGAGAGAGAGAGAGAGAGAGAGAGAGAGAGAGAGAGAGAGAACTGTAGAGGAGGAGGAGGAGGAGGATGAAGAAACCGGCATTAGACTCTGAAGAAATTGTACACTTGTTTTAATTGTATTTTTTGAACTATGCTTCGAGTCACGTTTTGGTACTGTTTTATTATGTGATTTGTAAACCACTTATGGCGGTGATGGCACATGTACCCGATGGTAACTCACGTAATGCTATTCTGGTGCAGTGTATCCAGTGTAGCGTGGCGGTCTTCCGTAGTGGCTCTCTTGTCCATGTTGCGGAAACGCTCCATGGCCGAAACGTTGCGCTGAATGCTCTGCTTAGGAATGTCAAGCTTGGAGACAAAGTTGAGCGCTCCGCGGTCGTCACAGTTGAAAAGCATCGGGCAGCAATCGTGGCCCTGGGAGAAGGAAACAGCGCATCGGGGCTTTGGATCGGCGTTTCTCGAGCCTGACCGCTGGAAGACGCCCGGGGGGGGGGGGATGGACGACTCCTCCCAGAATTCCCCAGCTCTCAAAAGCTTCCAAAACTAAGCAAAGACACTCACAGCAGCCACCACGCTGTTCTCCGAGACGAAGGACACGCTCAGCAAGGGGAGAAACTCGGTTTTCAGCTGGGAGAGCCTAAAAAACAAGAACGGTTAAGAACGTAGCATCCCAACGGAATCGCACCGCGTAAAACGATCCGCCTTCTCCATTAGGTCAATCGCAAACTAAGAAGCCACATCTCAATTCCTGAGCCAAAAGTGGCACAGGGGTTAAAGTGAAGGATTGGGGGCAAACTCTGCCCACAGCCTGGAGATCGAGCCTGACGGGGCTCAAGGTAGACTCAGCCTTCCATCCTTCCGAGGTTTGTAAAAGGAGGACCCAGATTGTTAGGGGCAATTATCCTAACGTTGTAAATCACCCAAAGAGAGCTGTAAAGCACTACGGGGCCATATAGAAGCCTAAATATGATTGCTATTGTCTGCAATGTAAGCTAGATAAAGGTAAAAGTTCCCCTCGCACGTATGTGCTAGTCGTTCCCCACTCTAGGGGGCGGTGCTCATCTCTGTTTCAAAGCC